TGAGTATTTGAGCAACCTGGTCTATAGTGGAAGATGCCCCTGTGCATGGCAAGGGTGGGGTTTGAAACACATGATCCCGAAAGCCTCTTCCAATCCAAGCCATTCTGTGATTCTCTGAAAGAACCCACCCCAAATCTAAGGCAGCAAGGCCCCTTCTCTTGAGCAGTATAAATATGTTTGGCTTCTGACAATGCACAGTATGAGCACTGAGTTACCTTAGAGTCATCTGGCCAATCAAGCCATTTCTTTTTCACAACATTAATTCTAGTTTTCCTCTCATGCTTCAAAAACTTTCTAATAAATAACTGTGTGTTTACTTCTGGCAACCAAAGGACATTCATACTGGAGGGACCTAATAAAAGGTGATGTGAATAGATTGCTCATTCTACTTCACAGCATTGAACACAGGAAGATTGGAGGGACAGAGTATGTGCCACTGTTTGTGATGGTTTAAAATCTGATTAATCAAACATGAGTAATATAAAATTCTTAGTGGTTGAAGGCCTGAAATATTCACACACATCTTTTTAAAAGGCTTCAAGTTTTGGGGAAAGCAAGCTTTCTTCATAAAGATTTTCTTTCATACTCTTACAACTTTTCTTTCATACTTCTATAACTCTTGTTTCACACAAAAGAAAAATGTCTTTACTGCTCTCATCTTCTATTGCATCTCGGCTTTTACTTTCCCCCTTGTTATTCATTCCCTCTTAGGCTTGGCAAAATCTTTCCGTTATGATGTGGAATATCTCCACCCCTTGCTTTCCTTCCCAGCCCTCCCTCTCATTTGCCTTTGTTGCAGTGACCAAAGCACCAGCTGGCAGTGGCAGGGAGCTACAGACCTTCCTTTCTCAGTTCCCAGTCCTCCACCACCAGTGTTACACCTGACCCTGTGACATCTGATCCCTGAGAGTGAATTTAATCAGTGTTATCATACTTTCAATTACAACTGAAGATAACAAAAAATAGGGAAGCCTTCCTCTTATCTACTGCTTTGACATTGACCATCACAGTCCAGAGGGGTAACTTTGCCTGCATAAACTGAAACAATGTTTTTGGCCTTCTAATTGATTAATGACTTACTTAATTTTACCAAATATTGGTATACTTACAACTAAGCACACAGCCTTTAATAAAATGTATATTTATCAGATTATGTAGAAAAATATCACTTTGCCTAATAAAGTTACCCTATCTGCTTGAAAAAAATATTTTGTCCATTTATTTGACTATGGATTCCTTGGCATTTCTTGTTCATTGAACAAGTAAAAGCAATAGTTTATTCTAATTTTAATACTGACTAAAATTTTAATGCATTTATTCTGCAAACATCACGCCTACATTGTCCAGACTTTTAAGTATACTTAACATGAGGAACTCCTACTGGAAGCCAGGCTTCAACCTGACTGATGCATGTGTGATTGCACTGGGTTCTATTTTGCAACTGGTTTTGTTCTGTAGGAAGACCTCTGGGCTTCAGCAATCTTTCATTTTATCTTTCACAGGGAATTTAAAGCCTGCACATCAGGACAAGTTTTCTGCTTGCAGATAGCAAGATGGAACTGGAATACAGGAATAATCTTTCTGATTTGAAAAGCTGGTCTGCATTTTTACCATGACACCTGACATTTACTTCAAATGCACAGTAGTCTCTCTCGTGGGTTTGAGAAATCACATTGATTTTTGGAGAGATAATGTAGGACAGCTAATATACTCTTTAGTTCTATAAGGGATATGATTATTCTTGTCTGCTTGTTCATTTATCTCTCTTCCCTTTTCCAGGAGGTATATAATTTACATGCTAATAATCAAAATAAATCCTGAAAACTGCATCTCTGTACCACCTGCTACACCCAGCAGAGACAACTCCATACTAGAAAGGTTTGCTTTGCATCTTGCTTTTAGTAACTATCGGTTCCCTATTGAAACTGCTGTTCTAAAAACTATTACTTACAGCATTCAATAGCTCTATTTACCATGAATGCTCCAGCTTTACAGTTCATAAACAAAGCTGGATGAGATGGAACTGGTGAGAGGCAACAGAATTGCACTACCAGGAGACAGGAAGTATTCAAATGCTCAGAGAATACCTAAAAATAGCAGCGCCTCCAAGCCATGTTTTGAAGCATCAATACACAGGCTGCTAGTAGCAAGCATCTGAAATTACTTTATAGAAGACACTTCTGAAACAAAAAGCATTCTGTAATATCTGTCCTGTTCAGAATAAAAATTCTTATCCTTACTCATGGTTCAAATGCTGTTTATTTATGTATAAATATTTTTATATATTTCAGATGCTCAGACGCATTGATTAAGTCAAAAAGACTCACTCAAATAAATTGAAATCCCAGTTTCTAAGAGTTGGCTGATAGCACACAAAATTAAATTTAGTGCCAAAAGCAGAGGGAATAGCTGTCAGATATCAGTAACATTAAAGCTTTGTGTGCTAGTATGGCAGGATTTAAAAAAATGATGGCTGTTTTCAAGAAATATTTTTTCTATTTTGGATAGTCACAGCTAAGATTATTCATTAAAATCACTTCAAAAACCTCAAAACAACAATACTTACAAATTAAAACATTAGAGTTTTCTTGTTTTTTAAGCCATGGAAATAAAACATTAGGGAAGTTGCTAATGATGACCTCAAACACCTCATGTACAGTTATTACACTGTGAAGAATATATGGCTTGAATATAAAGGAAAAATAATCCTTAAAGATATCTTTGTTTTTCTGACCTGGCCACTCATTTTGTTGCTGGACATGAAGTCCACAAAAACCCTCTCTAATAAAAAAATAGTTTTACGTGTTCACTCACCACCTTGTTGAAAAAAAGCTATTTGGTTCTTTAAAAATCTATTCTGGCCAGCTCTATTATCACATATTCAACAGGGTGGAAAGGACTAAATGCTAGCAAATGCAATTCCCTCTGTATTTCTTTAACCCTCCCAAATTTAATTTTTCATTCACAGGACCCAATAATTATATCAGTTCAGTGACTCCAGTGAGTCAGAGAGAGCCAGCATGCAGGGTACAAATGTCAGCATGTGCCAGGGATGCCTTGCAGGTAAAGCAGCTGTTTAAAAAGTGCATCTCAAAAGCAATACAGTGATTCTCCTAAATGCAAGATTCTACACGGTTCCTAAAAAGAGAAAATAACTTTGTTTTGACCTCCAATTTTATTAGCTCTAAACATACTTAGCAGCATGGACTCCACAAAAACATTAGAATAAATCGAGCTTTAACATAATGAAATATTTAGGGCTGAGCTGATTACTCATTTCTGCTCAGTGGTGGAATAGGCTAACATTCCCCCTTTCCTAGGTGAAATGAAATATAATGCAGTGTAAGTTGATTAGTAATAATTACAAGCTGATGTTCTTCTACCTCCTGAACAACAGGAGACCTGTGGTATCAATTGCAGATTTTCTGCACTCTAACACAATATATGCAATTTGTATGTGTGGCCAGTACTAATTCCACAATTTACCTAAAAAATCATTTAGGCAGATTGATTTCCAAATTTAAGTACGAATTTAAAAATACAGGATGATTCCTGAATTGGTTCAGTAGACCAAGCCAGAGATATAATAGAATTTCCTTCCTTAAATCTCAATTGAGCAAATTATTTTTTACTTCCCCTTCCCCTCCTTTTTCACCACACAAATTGCTCTTGAAGCTCAGTTTTATTTCAAACATCAATTTATTCATGAGATAATTTGAAGGAGAGTCAGGGGAATTTATCATGACTCTCTTTGGATTAGATAGATAAAGGAAAGAAATCTGAAAGGAGGATGTTTAAGTGCTGAGGCTGCTTGCCCAGGACTTGAGCAATCTCCATGTTATTTATAGTCACAGCTTCACTGGACAAGATCCTGAGCAGCCTGATCTACCTTAAAATTGGTCCTGTTTTGAGCATGATGGCTGGATGATGATGAAGGCTTCATTTACAGAACTATCTTCCAGATGATAGCCCTTGAGCCACATGCACTTTTCCTGCACAACTCTATTATTCAATCTAATTTTCAATGAATAATTACCACAGCTGTTTTACATATTTTAAATAATCATATTTTAAAATCATAGTTCTAGATAAGAAATTAAAAATTGAGGCTTTTGAGAAAACCATTTCAGGCTTCACTTAGGACAGGATTATTTTACACATTGACCACTTTATTTTCTGACTGCACCATGGTACAATTGTAACAGAAACCAAAAGACAACAAGATGACATCTTTCTTCCATGGAAACTTTATGGTCTCACTTTTAGCATAAGAAAGAAAAGCTCTGAAATACGAACTGAGAGAAGCCAGTGATAAGTTATTACCCATGCCTACACAGTTCCACATTTCTATGGGAGGGGATAAAAAAATTTGACATTTTTTTAGACTATGCCAGTCAGTGCAAACAAAATCTGTGTTCTGGTGTTAATAATCAGCCTTTCTAATACTGCAAAGATGCAAGAATATTATCTGTAGTTGTGAATTATTCACATTTTACGCCACTGTCTTCGTTAAAATTGAGGCAGCTGTGCACCCAGAGCTGTGTTCTACAGTTAACACACTCATATACACAGACATTCACCAGCACAGGTTTAATATTTTCTATCAGTACTTCTTCATCCTTAGTTTTGTACACTGGTTTGTCAAAAAGAACTCAAGCATACATCAAGAAAACAGAGTAAGACTTCACTGGACTTTTCCATGATAAGTGGGAAGATTTTACAGATAACACAAGTAAATATTAACGCTAGTCAAGTGAGATGAATTGAAGAAGTGGTATCCAATATATCTCCATGACAGATATTCTCATCTTCATGAAAACCAAACCTTTCAAGTGTAAGTACCAGGAAAGGATCAGCACTAATTTGAAACTTCATTGCTTCATCTCACAGACTTAAGCACCGTGGTGTGCAAACCCACAGCTAATGAACAGCTCTGTGCACGGGGGTAGCTCAGTGGTATCTGACACCTGTACAGCAGCTTCAACAGAGAATGATCTTACCCTTCCACAGAAATGGTCCTCTGCAAGCTCACTGTGGGTGGACGTGTTGCAGTGCTGTGCTGGGAATGACTGTACGGCCAAGGAAGAATAAAGAAAAGCATTTGTTAAAGAAATAGAAGTTTATCTTGCTCTCATTGTCTCTAGCAGTTAAGCTAATGCCAAAATAGATACAATAATCAGATTGTTTTATGCATGTCTAAAGCATTTTGACTTCAGTGGTGCTCATCTCTTCCAAAAGGGCTTAATTGTACAATCTGTCATTTAAATTCAGCTTTCATTTCTCATTAAGAGCAGAAAAGTAAGATAATAACTCACCCGTATCTTTCCTACTCATTTTTTAAATACATATATATTCACACAGAGAGTTCAGTAATTTAAAATAAGTTAAATGCTAATTATTCTACTAAATATACTAAACATACAATGCAAATTTAATTTCAGAGCAAAAGGTAAAACAGCAAATGATAATGTAATCAATCTAATTCTCAGTGTTTCCCAGTAAAAGAGGACATGCATTCCTTAGAATTGCACCTTGATGTAACTTCAACACTAGTTCTATATTTTTTCATATTTTAAGCAGCTTGAGTCTTTCCACATGGATTTTTTTTAATCTAGGACACAACATTTAGGAAAAAAACATCTTTTTTCTATAGCAAAACACAGACACTCTGAAAAAAAAAGATTGAAAAGCCTCAGGTCTAATGGCTTCTCATATGTTACAATGACATGACTAAGAAACCTGAGTAACAATAATTATGTTAAAACTACACAGTATGTGCTGATTTCAGTATTACACTCTGGTATAGTAGCATTGTAAATACAAATGGATAAAACAACATCAGTTTTGGGATAACAAATTGTACTCCTCAGCCAAGACAACCTGTTTAAATAAAACATTATAAAGCAGAAGCATCTAGATGTATTTTCTGATTAGTTTAAATGACTACAGCACATAGTGAGGCCTAGTATTAATAATGCAAAGTACACAATAAAAATAAATCTTTATGTCAGTTTTATATCACTGATTCTAATAACTGAAGACTTTCTTTCAAGCTTTGCATATATCTCAAGCTGCTTCTTCAGAAGCAACACATCTTATTTTCAATAAAAGCTGCTTCATTTGACATTAATGGCTGTTTTATATTAATTTCATCCTGTAGCATGGTCAATACTGTCTGACAGAAAAGAGGTCTCTTTTTTTTTTTGGTGTAGCCCATGTAGTTGTGATTCATGTCACTGGATGAACAAAAGTCCTGCTGCCTCCTGGTATCTTCTGTTGTGACAGCTGTGCTCTTGTTTTATGTTTGTTAGTAAATTATTCATCCTTACTGAGGTTTCAGAAGGTTTGTGGAGAAGTATATTCCCCTTCTAAGAAGTGCTGCAGAGCTTTTTATCTGTTTTATGGCAAAACTTATTTAGAAGTATTGTAAGTTTCTGGGATCATGGTTGAACAGAATAGCTGAGTTGGAAAAACACTGCAGAATATTATATGAATATTGGTTAAAATTTCATGTTAAGTTTGCATGTACAAGGAACTTTACACCACACTCCTGCCAAGTTAGGGGCTCATCTACCTGCAATATTCTACCTATTGGAAAACCTTTTCCAAGTCTAGGGATTTGTGACACAGTATTCAAATGAGCCCTTACCTTCTTTCATGAAAATAGTTCAGAACTGGTGATATGAAAACTCGTTTTCTTTTACATAATTATAAAAAACCAAGTTTGATGTTTGATATAAGCTTGTGCCTTGTAAGGTATCATCATGAATACAATGACAACTTAAAGTCTAAAATGCAGTTTAATCATTGCTTGACAAAAGTTGCTATTGGAGACAGAATAACAGTCTGATATGATTCCTAACTAACTTTTTGAAAAGATAATCTCCTGCTGAATTCTATCAAACTGATGGAACCAGCAGAAAGAAGCTGTTTTCATCACATGCTTAATACACTTGTGCATTTGCCATGTCTTTTGCAGCACAGAACAAATAAAGCTTTTGAGTTACTGCTACCAACACTTTCTGTGATGAAAGCCTAAACATATCCTTATTGAGATATGTAGGTGGCATAGTTTTAAACTGAAAGATCACAGTATTCAAAATTTGATATTCAGGCTAATAAAAATGTTACAATTTCTTTAAAATGATACAGAATGAAACTCCTACTAGTTTTAATAATATAAAATAACAATATTTCCATATACTACCCAGTACTACAGCCACACAAGATGGATTTTCCCTTAAGAAAAGAATCTTACATCCTGTAAAAGACCAGTTTTAATTTAAATCCATTTTATTTTAGTTCACTGAGATAAGGGGAAAATATCGTTCTTGAAAGACAATTCATAAGAGTGAAGGAACAAAGAATGAGATTGTAAATTAATAATAAGGTGCAAAACTGGGAGTAAAGAATCCAACCGCTCTTTTTAATGTGTTAATATGCTTTTTGTTTTAAACTTATTTCTCAGGCAAGGCGAACCATTTCATGGCTTCATTAAATACTAAAAATAGAGCAGCCTGGTGTCCACATATTCAAAAAAATGTTTATTATGAAAATAATAATATCAGTAAGTATTATAGAAACAAAAAGGTGAGTAGCCAGTCTCCTTAGCTTTAATTTCTGTTCTAGGCCATGAAAGCTCTAAAGACACTTTTGCTGTGTGGATGATGCTGAAACTGGAGGCAGCATCATAAACCCTTCTTTCCCCACAGGGATCAGATGAACCATCACCTTCCCCTCCCAAATGACACTTTTGCTGATACACAATACACCAGTGAAACCTCTGTCTGGGATGAAACAATCATGTTAGGGAAATATTTATTGTGTTTTAAACTTCCATCATGCAAAAATATGGACAAACACCATTAAGGGATCAGACTGCAAGGTGGTCAAATCAGTTCATCCCAAAGCCTGCCTATTGCATTGACATAGAAGAAATAAGATTGTTATAATACAAAATAGTTATTTTTCTCTTCTGTTTGGATAAAACCAAGACACACTGTCTTTACAAAGACAGTACTAGAAAAGTCATTAGCTTTCCTCTCTCAACCCTCAACCTCTATCAAAAAAGAACAGCTGTCTTCTATTTGCTATAGCCCTGATTTAGGAAACCTTTTGTTGCCATGTATCTTTATTTTGACAAGTCAAAACTGACAGCATTAAAGTTATTTGCTTCCTAAATCGATTGACCTGCAACTTCTCATAAAAAAGCAGTAAAGCAGCTGTGGCACAGGCTGGGTAGAGACCTCTCTGTACACTGGCTTTGGAGCAGCAATTCTTCAGCTCCCAATTCTGAAACTGCCACACAGAAGAAAAACATACAAACTCCATTTGTCTATCAATATGTTCTCTGCAGGAAAAAAAAATCCAAAACAAACAACAACAGCAAAACCAAATCCAAAACTAGAGCTTTGAGTTATTCTTTGTCATTCACAATACTAAAACAGAAAAGAGTTATAAATGTAGTATTGAAAAAATTCCACTGGAGACCAGTGAAGGGAACGCTAATTCTGTTTGTTTTTATGATGTATTCTCAGCATGTTGTTTCTTATGTCAAGGATTGAAGGTAGCACTGCAGTTGTTTATAAAGCTTCTAAGCCTTTGATTTGATGGATGTAAGAGTTTAGGAAGGCAACATGCTTTAATTCCATTAATGTGGAGTTTTAATTCAGCTCAGTGAAGTGAAACCAGCTTTTCCTGATGCTGCCAACAGCTAAACTCCTAACTTAAATGAGTTTCTGCACTCCTCTGGGATTAATTAGAAGACCAGAGATTGCTTTTTTTGGGCATTAATTTTATCTCAGCTACAAACGGTTTGATAATATCCAGTACTGACAGTTACTGGCCCATATTAGAAGTGTCAAACTAACCAGACAGTCTCCCATCAGAGGCAAATGGGAAACTTCAGGGAATAGGGCATTCAACCCTGCTATGCTCAGATCACCCTCAGGTAACAAAGCCAGACATGAGATGTAATGCTGTTTTCATGCACAGGCACATGCAGCGAGGATTTTAGCAACATAACTGAATTTTTAAAATGGCATCTGTACATCTATTGTACAAATAGCATTGCTAGGCTAAATAGCTACTCATTGGAAAACAGAAAAATAACAAAACGAATTATTAGGCTGTAATTCCGCCTACAGATATGTAGAATAAAGGACACGTTATGTCTCTGCTCAGGTTCTCTGAGGTTATTTCACTTGCACAACTAAAGTAAAAAAGGTTGCTAACTTATTCCTCCCTACTTGCTTGCCTCCCTTCCCCAAATAGTGTTCACAAAGAAGTGGTTAGCCACATTCTGTGACAAAGTATTTGAGTTATTGCAGCCCTAAAGTAGCATCATTTAGCAATAAGGAAGAATGCAAAGTGGAGCTGTGACTCAGAGGAATGCTTCAGCTCCTGGAATAAAGCTAATTATCCACCTTTGTTAGCCATGTGCCTAAACCAGGTACCTGATCTTCAAAGTGGTGAAACATCCCCTGCCTTCAAATCTACTTCCCTATGGCTGAGGTAATTGCAGAAGATAATGATAACCTTTAAAATATAAAAATCTTGCTTATTTGAGAGGATTTGTTCTTCCAGCTTGAGATCCGGTATTTAAAACAGCAGAAGTTGGTTAGAACGATGTGGGGGGAGCTGAAAGTAATTAGGAATGAAGTTTAAAGGAGTAGAGTGGAGAGGATATATTTTTAAAGCAGTTCTATATGTAAAGTTCCCAGGTAGGGTAAATACAGACTTAGAGTACTGTTAAGAACTCAGCATTGGGTAAATTAGGGATATTGAGTGAAAACTGTTAGAAAAAACTGAATCCAATCCTAAATAATTATGTTCCTTGTTCCTATCTTCGTATTTTGGACAAACCTTTGTGATTTTAGAAGTGGGGTGCGTAAATCTCCACAGCATTCCAAGACATTCTATTTTTGTTAAAAAAAGTAAGCTTAAGTCTTCCTACCAGCCTCAGTTATAATACTACTGCTGTTATTATTGCTATGATTATTATTTATGACACTGTAATGATTATGAAGAATTATAAAGCTCCTTCTGGGAGCTGAAATACTCCCTGATG